CTGTGATTATTAATGTTTTTGAACCGTTACTCGTATCGGATAATATCATTAAATGAGCGTTGCTGAAGGTATACTTAAATTTCTAGGTGGAATAAGCAGACTAAATTCATCCTTACTTACTTACGCCTGTTACTCCTCGTGGAGGAGCATAGGTCGCCCACCAGCATTCCTCATCCAACTATGTCCTGGACAATCTTTTCCAGTTTCTATTCAACTTTTTCCTATCTGCTTCCAATTCTCGACACAGTATGTTCCTTCCAAGTTAGCGCTTGCTTCCTGATGCAGTCTGATGATTTCCTCAATGTATATCCTATCCACTTCCAACATCTTTTCCTAATTTTCTCCTCAGCTGGAATCTGGTTTGTTCTCTTCCACAGTAGGTTGTTTCTGTGGTATCCAATCAACGGACATCTAGTATCTTGCGTGATCAACTGTTCACAAATACTTGTACCTTTTCGATTATGGTTGTGGTAGTTCTCCAGGTTTCAGCTACGTACAGTTGAACTGTCTTGACGTTCATATTGAAGATTCTTTCATATTGGTTGATAGTTGTTTATAGTTATATATGTTCTTCAATTGTAGGAATGTTGTCCTTGCTTTGCCAATCCTCACCTTTACATCTGCAACCGATCCTCCTTGTTCATCGATGATGCCTCCTAGGTACGAGAACGTTTCCACATCTTGTAGAGTTTCTCCACCAAGTGTGATCGGGTTGGTGTTCTCCGTATTGTATTTAATGATGTTGCTTTTTCCTTTGTGTATTTTGAGGTCTACTGATGCAGAGGCTTCTGCTACACTGTTTGTCTTGACCTGAATTTGTTGATCTGTATGGAATAAAAAGACCAGCTCATCTGCGAAGTCCAAATCTTCTAATTGATTCTGAGCTATCCATTGTATTTTATGCTTTTCATCAGATTTGTAGGTCTTCATAATCCAGTCGACCATCAGAAAAAAGAGGAAGGGGAAAGTAGCAGTCTTGTTTGACTCCGGTCCTTAATTGGAGTGCATCTGTCAGGTGTCCTCCATTCATGATTTTGCAGTATAGTCTGTCGTATGAATTCCGGATAATGTTGACAATCTTCTCTAGTACACCATAGTGTTGAAGAAGGTTACATGAGGTCCCCTCATCCACTTTGTCAATCGCCTTCTCATAGTCAATGAAGTTGATGTATAGTGACGAGTTCCACTCAACTGATCGTTAAACGATTATCCGTTGTGTCGCAATTCGGTCTATTCACGACCGATCCTTACGGAATCCGGCTTGTTGATCTCGAAGTTGGGCGTCTATTGAGTCTTTCAACCGGTTCAGCAACACTGTTGAAAATTTTCTCTAGTACCGATAGTAGTGTGATGCCTCTATATTTCTCGCATTTGCCCATAACCCCTTTTCTTTGGTATGTCGATGAGGTGTTCTTTCCGGTCTGTTGGCACTTGTTCTTCCTCCCAAATCCTCTTGAATAGGAGGTGAAGCATGTTTGCTGTTACTTCAATGTCTTGATTCTGCTGGTACGTTGTCAGATCCTGTTGCTTTCCCATTCTTGATTTATTTGATGGCCATCATGATGTCTTTAATCGTTGATGGAGTGATATCTAAAGGAAGGTCTATAGGTGCTGCTTCAATATTGAGTGGATTCAATGAAGCTGGTCTGTTTAAGAGTTCGTCGAATTGTTCTAACCACCTGTTCCTTTGTCCTTGAACGGTCTCTCTGTTTTACTGTATTCCACTGTCAGTTTCTTCGTCGTGTCATATATGTTATATCCCCCGGTGAATTACGAATGGTAACTGTAAGGTCTATTTATGGATCAATGTAATATGCCTATTTCCTATTGTATAGTTGTTAAATAACTGACGTAATCGTATTCGTGTTCCTCTTACCATAACCTTTATTTTGACCTTTGAACTATTATTATTGATTACTTTCCCCCTACCTACAGCCACATTGGCCAATTATTGTACAAATGTTATTTTTCTATTTTTTGGTATAATTTGGTCTGTTTGTTTAGTATATAAACCCAGTATACTTGTGAATGATGATTCATACCACTGAGGCTGTTATTGGTGTTTTGGACTTAACTGGCTGGGCTAGGCAGATCGCAGGACCCGTTAGCACTCTAGTCTGCTCGTATGGCTTCGTGTCACTGTTCCAATCGACAATTCGCTGCTCTCTAATTGGCGGTCTCATCAAGTCACACATTAGCAAGGCATCCACTCGGCCACAAATATATATAGTTGTACTATATTTCCTTCTCTTTCAGATTTTTCCACTGCCGTTGCTAGCTCTTCCATGTGTTTCTGCTTGTCTGCCTTAATGCTTTTCTTCACCTCCTTATCTGCTGCGTAGTCTGCTTATGCCTTGACTTTCTCTGCTCGTGTTTGACTGTTGTTAATTGCTATTTTCTTGTTCTTCCTTTCTTCAATCTTGTCCAGCGTTCCCACAGAGATCCATTCCTTATGATGATGCTTCTTGCGACCCAGAGCCTCCTGAAACGTTGAAGCTAGTGCTTCGTCGATCGCTTTCCAGTTGTCCTCCATAGTAGTTTCCTCTTCTTTGAGTAGATCTTGTAAGACTTGGAGCCTTTCGTTGATAATTATCCTGAATTCATTGAGTTTGTCAGTATCTCTAAGATAGGCTGTATTGAACCTTTGTAATGCTGTTTGTCCAGTTGTCCAATGCGTCTTTAGCTTCAGTTTTATCTTGCTAACCACCAGGTGGTGATTTGAAGCTACGTTAGTTCCTCTTCTGGTTCTCACGTCTACCATTGACCTTGCAAATTTTTTACTAATACAAATATGATCTATCTGGTTCTCAGTGGTGTGATCCGGTGAGATCCATGTGTGTGTTCGTGTGGAAATATTGTCCCACCTATAACCAATTTGTTGAATGCACATAGCAAGGTTGTTTTCTATGGAGTTAGGTTGCTCACGCCTTTCTACTTTACCTGGGCTTTGAACCGGCAGTATCCCCAGAAGAGCTATAGGCTCAGTTAAATTCATCCTTATATAGCGGTAATACATTGGATTCTGCTTTCTGTAACGTCTTGTTCCGTCTTCCAACGAACTATGATAACCAATTACATGTTTATGTAATAAGCTGAAAGATCATTCAGTCTCTGGATCTTAATGAAAAGAACGATAATTCTGTAGAGAAAATTTCGATACTTTTCCACTCCTCGAACGTTAATTTTTGTTAGCGTTAACTTAGGTTTCGAACTTTGTTGATGTATTTATTCTGTAGCATTTCCATATCACTCTACGGATTTTTCTCTGTTAAACTTTCTTTATTCACATAGAACCACTTTGTTTCATTAGTGTAAATCCGGTAAATTGTTGTACAGGTTTACTCGGCCAAAATACAATAATTTTTTATAATAACTACTCATCCCTTCTCCTTTCTTAGTGTACTATGTCTGTTAGTTTGCGTTATGAAATGTTGAATTAATTGTAATCGGTTAAGTACAACTACTATTGTTGTTTTTCAATTACAGTAGTACAAAATCTACAAGAATTATTAGAGGATATGTACGCAGATCTTCCTGGTATGCCCGCTTCAGTAACATTCACTGGAGACGATGATTCCAATCCAAAAGGAACATTTAATATAATATCCAGTGGAAATACAAATAATATCAGTATTATCAACAGTGGTCGTTCATGTCATTTGCCAAAAACTATTGCAGAAATTACAGAAGTCAATTTATGCGACGATGATGATATTGATAACACTGGTTGTAGTCGACATGAAGACGATAATAGTCAAACACCTGCTGATAATATAAGTTGTCCTGATATGGAAAAATTTCATCCAGATAGTTTGGTGCCTCGGTCAGGATCGCTTAAACGCAATGACTCACCACATTGTGAAAAGAGGATTTTTATCGAATTGTCTGATGACGAGGACGTTTCGAGTTGTATTCCTGATACCGACAGTACTGCTGATCAGCAAGCGGACCGCAATTGCGACAAGTCTAACATTGGTGCTGATAACGATAATGATATTAATGAACACTGTGCATTACCTAATCTACCAAACTCAAGGGATGATGATCTGATTCATCCAATTGAATAATTCACTATATATTCCATTTTCATTGAAATTATTCTGTACAAAATTCCCTTTCTATAGCCTCTATTGTTTTACAAGAAACGATCACATGCTTATTACAATGTTGTTCTGTCGAAATTGAATTGCTTATCTACTCTACTCGTGTATAAACCATGTACCTAAGGTACTTTTAAAATTAATTTACGATGAAAGGGAATTAAGGATCACAGCATTTGCTTAATTAGTTATGTTGACCGTTTATGGAGGATTTATTTTAATGATTATTCTAGAGTACTTGATGTATATTACTAACAACTAATTTACGAATCCATAACAGTGTTTATGTAAACGCATCCTTAGATTACTGTATTATTCCTTGGAATTTCGTAGGATTAAATTAATCTTTCGTTATGATATAAACCCTATATAAACTCCACGCACTAAATTATATTAATACTAAGTGTTATTTGTTTGGAACTATATCACCAGTATATTTTATAGCACCGATTGAGCAGTGGTTCTTACCGAAAGGTACTTTAAACGTCTTGAGTTTGCATAATCCAGATGTAATACTAAGATAGGAACGTTAAAAACCCTGTCAAAAAAGGAAGTTTGATGAATGATCCTGTGTAAAATGTGTTTTTGCTAGATTTACCGTTCTCAATCGTTTTTTCATTGTTACAATATCGATTATTTAATAACGTTTATTCATAGGTTTCGAATGCCATCTTTATTTAATTCCTGTCAACATTCATCCAATCACTAAACTCATCGAATGACTATATCTGTCAAGGAATTGGTAGAGTGGCTCTATATAACTCTATTTGAATTGTTGATTCATATAATTGGAATTATTTTCAGCTTAAGTATAGCCGTTCTCTTGGATGATAAGATCTTGGATATACTACTGTGTACAAAGCAAAAGGATATAGTCCTATGGTGGGTTTTCTTGCCGTTATGGTGTGCCGATGTTCTCGTCTCTTATTTTAATATTGTGTTATTTTTCAGACGCATACATTATCACAAAGTAAGTTCAGACCAAATATACAGTTTCACATGCTCGTGTTTCCCCTTGTGAACATAAATTAATTTAGATTTTTCTTTCCCTTAGGTTGTATGTCGAAATGTTCGTCATTATGGATTTCGTCCTGATTATCTACCTCCTCCGTGGTCATCTGTAATCTTAGATACCACTTATCAATTAGTATTTTTGCTTTATAATTATTTGTTTTTGAAAAAAATTAGTTTATATAAGCCGAAGCATAGTTTTTTCTCCAGTTATTTGTATTATGACATTAATACTTCTGTCATTATGTATAAAAAGTTGCAGGAATGATAGTAATTAACATGTAACGCATTTCATTCTAGAACCTCCTTGCGATTCTCTGTTGTTTTAAGAAATCGTACATTGTTGTATACTTCAGCATTTCTGTTGTCACACTTCAAAATTATTTGCAAGAATCTTTTAGGGGAATGAATAAAAAGAATTTAATTGGTAAAATTGCATTCCGATTCTTTACTTGTTTGACAAATGTTCTAGATACTCAAAACAGTGCATAGGTAGATTTTTATTGACATTTGTTGGTAAATGTGTTGATACGTTGGCATTTACTATTCATTCGATAAACACTCAGTAATCCAGCCGTTCTACATAAAACATGATATAGATTAGGACCCGAGTATATCATCAAAGGCATGCATATATTTAAATGACCAATCACAATTCACTTTGAATGGACAACAAAGCAACATCGACGGTTGTTTTGACGAGTTTTATTACCAAAACTACCGTATATACGCTGCCTCATCCCAATCACACTAAATTGTATTTCCATCCCTATTTAATATAGTGTGTATTGAATGATTAATGTAGCTTTCTCGATCAAAATGTTTGGATTCATTAAGTCACATGCAACTTAAGCATGTTCTAAGGCTGAAAATTTAGTTGGCTCTTGCGATGATACGTATGAATAACGAGAATTCAGGGCGAGACTATAATTTAAGAGTGACCTTGGGAACTGCCAACCAATCAGGAAACACTTCGTGCAGAGTAAAAATATATTATACAAAATCAAAGAATTAAAGTGGATACACTTCATTTAAATTGTCCGAAAACTTTCCAAGGTTAGAAAGACGTTCAAAGTTTCTAAAATCGTAATGCATACGGTAGAGGAACTCATTCATATGGCTCCACAATAATCGGTCTCTGGAGCCATGATAAGGTCGCAGAAACTTACAGCTTCAATATTATCCGTGCTCTGGTTGTGCAAGCCTGTCATATTTATCACGCATATATCCCTACAATACTCACAATGGACAGCCGGAGTTTCAGTAGCATCTGCAGTCAATGTTACTGGTGCTTTTATTAGACAGTTCGTAGCAATTATTATAATTTGTCTTAGTCTCAGTCTGGATCGGGTGAAAAGTTCCTATTCTAGCAGAAATTCCTTCCAACATATAATACACCAAAAGATAACATTATCACGATAGTCTGCCCAAGGTCTACAAGTCATTTGATTATCACAACTACAAATAAAGGGACTTCTTAGTAGCCCCATTCATTGTAGCCGCTTAGTTGTCACGTCTTCTCTAGAATCCTCTGCGATCCAATCGTGCATGAGCATCAGGTACTGAAATTGGCACAGTGACTTTGGGTCCCTCAGACGTTTCAGATTGGCTCGTCCATAAATTTTAGTCTCGCCTCCAGTCGTTATCAAGAACATTTGGTGCATTTATCACTTCGAGTAAAATATATTCTCAAATGATATTCGCTGGTTATCTAGAAAGCACAAACTAAATCATAGGTGAAATTGCTGTCCGCGTATAAAATGTGGCCTATACTTTTAGTTGGTCATCCACCGAAATGCCTCGATACCTAACTGTAAAGTGTCCGTCAGTACATCGAGTTATTTAGAGTATGTGATGTGAAATTTAATTCCTATCGACGAAAACTCAGGATCTTGAAGTCGGTATTGCTTTTTTTTCAACAAGAGCTAGAATCCTTTAAACAATTAGACATCCATACTTATTAGACGCGTCTAAAATAGTCGTGTGAGTTATATAACTAGGAATAAACTCAACTCCCGTTTATAATTTCGGCATCCTATTTAGCGACCAATCAGAACGAAGTGTTCATTTAGCTTGATAATTGCAGAGATTCTAGACATATCAAGAATAAGTGTAAGAGTAAAATTGGTCTATTTACTCCTGGTAGTGTCTATAGTATCTTGGTCTCATCGGTCAAAAATATATAGTCTTTATACTTTTTTTCGGGAATTCTGTGTAAAGTACCATTAATTTTGTACTGTTTCTTTAACTGAAAGATTTTCAGGACTAATTATTATAGTGATTAGAAGTGTTCAAATTGATTTCCTTACTAAGAATCCCCGGTATAGTGCAATTTAAGGAAGTAAAAACTACACAAACACAACTATACGTATTGAAGTGGATTTATACTCAACGTTTCCACGTAAACCTAATGTAAAAACAGTCATGTTGACGTTCATATGGTCATTGAATATGTTATATTATGATGTATTTGTATTAAACAACCAGATTATGCTGTGAATTTTGCTCTGGTTGGAATCTTTTTTTGACAAATTTGACTGCTTACACCGGACGTCCATTGTTTTCTGGAATAACGTCCTAAGGCATAGTAAATTTAATGACATCGTTGTGTTTTTTTTCAAGCAGACTGTTAGTGAATAATGTTACTGTAGAAAGGTTTGTTGTGTTGTAAACTATGTCCTTTTTGAGTAAGCGACTGTTGTCTTCAATCTTAAAACTATATCATTTGTCTTCTGTTAGGTAAGTCTTACTAGCCTATAGTTCCGACGAAGTGTACGATGAATCGAAATTCTCATTGTCATTTTTCCATTGCTACATGGCACCTTGGATCAGTGAATGACGACCAGATGTTGCTGAACATAACAAGCTATCAGAAGAGTGTTTACCAACGAAAAACTCGTTTGGTTTTAACTTCCGAATGTCCACGTCTTAGGGTCATCACTACTTCATTAGAGGGGGAGTGAGTTGTAGCGATGAATAAATCCCCCAAATAAATAGTTCCGTAAGTCTTTGACACTGGTGTCAACCTCTTTATTTCTACTGGACACACTTAACTGAAGTCGCTTGGTTACGCATCCGCACCAGATCACGAGCGGGTACGGCGTGCTAGGCATCCCGTACAATCGTTAACCAGCTTGGATCAAACGCCTTACAAGATATCGATAGCCTTCAAATATAAATCCGAACCTCCTCAACTCTGACTTCCGATTTGACTGGGTTGGCATACTTCGAATATAAAGGTGTTACTAGTAAGGGTGTTGTCGAACTCTTAATATCTGTGGCACTTTTAAAGGTTCACGTTCAATCTTCTAAGACTCGTCCATTTATTTGTTTATTCTCAAGCTATTTCTCGGATCCACGTGATATAATATAAAGTAGTCCACGGCTAGCATTTTCTTTGTGATAATTAGTAAACCATGCGATTTCGTTGCAAATATAGATAAAGTAGATGACTCCTCAGTAAAATTTCCTGGGATTTCTCAACGGACTTCACAAGATTCCTTCAAAGTATATGGGAGTCCTAGGGACTCCGATATGAGTATTACGAGAGTACTCCGCCTTCAGAAGAATTCTTCGATATTCCTAAGTGAATCGAATCAGATTTCTTAAATGTTTATGTAAATTGTATAAAGTAATGAGGGAACCTCGAAAGTCCCTCAACATTTTGTGGATTTCCTCAAAATTAGACTAGTATTTGGGGAAGACCTCAGATCATTTGAAATCTCGGGGTTTTTGACCGTATTTTTAACGAAATGTTTAGTGGATCGTTATGAAATCCAATGGAATTTTATGCAAACTTCGGTGATTGTGTTAGCGTCAGACGTCTCACTCATTTCGAATTACAATATTTATAATCACTGGTAGTTACACAAATGCAGATCCCTACGAGATTGAGAACACTTAGCACTGCGAAGTGCTCATGGCTTTCGTTTATGGGATCTGTCATGAAAAAACGCATTCAACTAATCTGTACTGAACTTGAGAAGCCATTCTGGAATCGCTTATTTCAGCAAGAATAATGAATTATTGGACGTCTATATGTAGGATCTTGAGCCTGAAGTTTTCGGGACAATTTGTAAGGTTAGAATATGCTGATGTCGTTCAACAATATTAGGCATGGTTACATTAAGGAAACATAAGTAGATTAATGTTGTCCCATCAAATAACTTTCCATCTGTCTATTTTCTTACATGTTCTCTTGTTATCCATTGATTGTTATCTTTGGCCGTTGTTCATGAGTGTCAGTCAACTATGTTCGAATTAGTTATCTATCGATTGGATGGTTTAGTTTATCGACTGCTTTATTGTTTATCAGGAGCATGGGAAAATACTCGGCGCAATATTTCATAACAAGAGACTAGGCGCACGATTATTTTGGACGTTTGATATCTAATTGTGACCAAAAGAATAAAAAGTAAGTCTGTACATCAATGAGTGAACCAGAATAGTATTATGAAGATAATTGTTTGAATGTAAAAAAGACCTGTGTTGGTATTTCTCTTTGCTTTGACTTATTATCGATTTCATAAGTCATGACGTACAAAGCGAAAGGTCAATACTGTAGAATAGAAATAATGTCGTCCAGACAAAATACGAAGTATATATTTGTGACTCAAGAGCTTTATAAAGGAATTCGCCGAAAATAGAACTGTGTCCACCCAATCTTTCTTATTTCGTATCTCAGTGCGTATAATCCAGGTACATATTTCTGGTCGTCAATTGCTTTCATTATTAGATGTAACTTAATGCTCGATGCAAACCTACTAAACGCTGTACGTTACAGGTTCAGTAAGTACACAACCACAGATTTTGTTACGCTCTAAGATCGTTCTGAGACATCATTTATGGATTTATTGGTATGTAAAGTAAGACCTCCCAAATGTGTGCATCAGTTGCCATTCCATAGCAGCCCGGTGAGATCTCAGAGTAGTAGAACTATCAACAGCACTAGTGGACAGTTATATTATCGAGACATGAAAATCAATGAAGATCGTGCTGTAATTGTCTATAAAAGTGAGATGAACTTCCCCGAAATAAGTCTTCCAAGGGCATACATTATCTGAGTGGTTTCTGTTTTCTCAAATAGCGTTTTCCTTCATTTACTAATTGACAATGCTATCCTTCCTTCGTTTCGTCACTACAGTTGAGGGGTGGTACTTTTTGTGTGCAATATTATAAAAGGAATTATGTGCATCAAGCAAGTGATGAAACACATATAACTTTTAACGAAAAATATAATGGTTAATCACAGCATAATCGTACCTGGCTTCATTTGACCACTCTACAGGCTTATTTTATCAATATTTATTTGAAAACACATAAATATTGGTACAAGGAAGCACCAGATAAATATGCGCCTCACAAATCTCATTCGATTTCTGTGAGGGCTGTGATACTGCCCAGGTGCCCAGACTGAAGCAGCCTAGTCAGATTCACTTAATAACTCGCTGCATGAAAGTCTCTGAGATTACACGGATGAAACATAACTAACCTAACGAGATTTGAATTCCGAAATAGGACACTTATAGGCTAATCGTCACCCCTAGGGCAGAACATATGCCGTTTAACGAAGGCTATGTTGACAAAGTGTGAATATGAGAACTTCAAAGAAGATCACAATAGGAAACGGAGGGTTGTTCGATGTCTCCAGCTTACTGAAACCAGATTTCGTCCACTCAGAATCGCTGCACATACACTTCTACACGGATAATAGTGTCGTGACGAACTCAACATCCAAATAAGATTGACTTAAAGTAGTATAGATTTTGATATGATTGTTAAAAAAACACTTTCTTTGATTATTTTCCCTGAAGAAGCCCAGACAAGTAAGCTGGACGAAACGCTGGAATTATTTAAATTTTAATATCTGAGACTATTTCAAATATAATTCTTCACATATAATGACTCCTCTATGCTCGGCGCCCAATTTTTGTTAAGCTATTTGTTCTAACCTTGACGAATATTCGTATAAACCCAAAGATAGTTTGAACTTGTTTGGGAATTTTGTCGCATCCATTGATATATGTGGATTTTCATTACTGATGTTATCATGCTTTACCTACAACAAATTAGCTCTTTATTCCACTGTTCAATTAGTTATACCTACAAGCCAAAGGGTGTCATGAAAACAAACTTTTATCAAGCAAAGTCGTGTTCTCTCATTTGCTTACGTTTATTTTTTCGATACACAATACACACAACCGGGAACTAAGATATGGTATGTGCTATGCAAAATGATAAGAATGAGAACTAAAGGAGAGTAAAATCAAGAAAAAAACTGAAAAAGAGTGAAGGATCAAGAATAGTATATTGTAGCAGAAACCTTTACTAATCTAGGATTCGCCCTCACAATTTCGTCTCACAGTACTAGTGGGTTATGGAAACTTGAACCAATCTACAAATGTGTTAGGTGCTGTGTTATGCTTGATTGACTGGGCAGATACAGTTCAATTAACAAGATTGAGGAACTATGTTTCATTTAGGGGACCTCACTCCAGTCCTATGAAAAGTGTAAAAGAAAACTACCACAGGATCTCTATTGACTTCTTTGAACCATTTCGGACAGAATCTCAAGCCACTGAGCAGTACCACCCCGATCTACGACCATAACCAGTCATGGTGAGCAAAATTAAATAACTAAAAAAAGCTTCAGATTAATGAGGTTTTTTTACCTCACTTGTTGTCTCTTTATTTATTTTTTATAATAAACAACTAGACGTACTACATTAGTGCTGTTTTCAGAATGGCGACGTGCCAATTTTTAGTAGTGAATTAAGTATATTGTAATACAAATGAACGTACAGGCGTAAGCAATATAAATGAACACAACTAAATTTCACAGTATATTATAGTGTAGGCACACTGTTGTTGTCACTGGGCATAACAACTACCCTAGTCACTTTTGCTACAATCAATTGGTTATCAACTATAGCACTAACTTTCGGAACTTAAATGGAAATTCCTCCAAGCTACAGGTTACAATTTGTGGTAAGACATAAGAGTGAATAATGGCAGGAAGCATACGAATACAAACTCAATAGAAAACGTGAGTCTTTTTAAGTCAGTGATATAGGATACGTTTTGGACGATAAGAAATGGCACAGTAAATTGCCTAACAGATGAATACCCTGTGTATGAAAGTTTGTCAGGCAAATAAATGAAAGTAGGGTAATAAGCGGGTCCCTTTTTGTCTTAATAAACCAATAGTATATTTATTTAAACACATAAATATTGGTACAAGGAAGCACCAGATAAATATGCGCCTCACAAATCTCATTCGATTTCTGTGAGGGCTGTGATACTGCCCAGGTGCCCAAACCGAAGCAGGTGGTTTTCTTAGGGGGCCACACTGCGAGCCTTTGACCTGAAGGTCTAGTCCACAATGCAGTGAAGCATCGTAAGGAGATGCAGTCCCATGGTAGCCGGTGACCAACGATTGGTTCATACACCATTTGTTTCCTCAGGATACTAGAGGCCGTGTGCACCATTGGTTTGGAATCAGGGTTTTCCCATTCCGCTAGGTGAACTCGCCATGTCCACCAACCCGTTTAAAGCACCGCACATTCGTTCTTCGTCCTCCCAATTTCGTAAACACCCCCGCCACGAGAAGGCAGTGAGTAGGACTTCCCTGGCAGAGGCTATATATTCGCATGGCCATGTGAGTGCATTTCGAGATGGTGATAGCAGACTCTCCCCACTCTCGGCCGTACCAGGGCATTTGGGGGCACGTGTGTAGGGCTGCCAAAGAAAACTTCGGCGGTTTTTACCATGCAATAAATCACAAGAGTAAAACCGTGACGGTTTTGTTAGGGAGAATATGAAAACACAACGTACTGTAGTCGGTATACCGCTATCGCAAGTCATTGCTAGCCTATCTTCTAACGGCAATAGTAGTCAACTCATATTTAAAGAAGAAACTTTGATAAGCAGATTATCAAGAGTTGGAGTTCTCTCTATACTGGATCCCAGTTTTTATTTCGGATTAAAGAGATCACAACTACAAGCTTCAAGGGGTTAAGATGTTAGTGGTTGAAAATATGGAATGACAATACTGGATTGAAAATTAAACTGAAAACATTAAACAGACGAACAATGCTGAAATAAGGATTCCTATAAGACTAATGTAAAGCTAGGTAATAACTTCCGTTACAACTTATCAACTCATACGTAGATTACAGCAGTCTAATTCTACATAGAAATAAAAAATACCTCATAAAAGACATAGTTGGAAAGAGAAGTGCAGAACCATATATGACAATAATGACATGGTAATTTAGTCACAATCTAGAGATTTTAGCACAACGACTCTTCGCAATATAGATCACATTCACTCATATTTTCAGTGAAATTGACTTGACAACTACACTGTCATCAACGATATGCTCTTATGATAACTTGCACCAGAAGTTTACACATCATGTGGGGAATATCTGGAACTAATAAGCTTTGAAAATGACTCGATATATTTCCTGGCGTTTCAGATCCTTTATCCTTAGTATGCTAACCACAAGAAGTAACAAAAGGGAAGCCGGAAAGCCAAAAGGCACAGAATTGAAAGAAGTTGGGGAGGTTATGAATAATCTAAAACTAGGGAGAGTAGGTTCGAATAGATTAGTTCTTAAAATCTTTAAGAATGGAGGTCAGGTTTCAGAATAAATCGACTTAAGTTCTAGCGAGAATATGGGAACTGAAGCAATCCCATCTAACTGGTCTCGATCGCTGATAGTCTCAGCTTATGAGAAACGACAAAGTCCTCTGAAATTAGGTCGAATAAAACAGTGTTTAGAATAATAGTTTGGACAACCACCCAACGACTAACTGGGAAACGAGGCATAGCATGTTAACAAATATCTACCCTTCGCCAGTTTATGAATGTAGACGTATACATCAACTCACAGCCATAGCTGCATTTCTATACTTTAATATACTGCTCGGTTCAGTCAACCGTGTGAACTACCACTAGAATTATAATTTCAGGTGGTGCTCATTAGGGTCATCTGTTTTCCTCATTTATCATAGGCGTTGTTAAAAATGATGCCCTCCTCGTCTGATTTCTCATGGATCGAGGCGTTCATAATAACTATTACAGACGAAAGTCCCCAGCTCCAAAGAGAATACCATTCTTAGCCAAATGCAAATCTTTAATTAAATATTTTTACACGAAAAGCAAACATACATATGTTGAGATAGGAAATCAGTACTTCTACATTTTCGAACAAGTAAATATTAACTATAGATGATAAGACGACTGACAAGTCATCTCACGCCTTAGTTTTGATTGTAAGTCCATGCATGTCCTTTATTTCATCCCTCAAGGCCTAAAAGAAATAAACATGTTTGCACAGTTACACACCTTTTTAACAGCTCGATGCTGTTGTAAAACGGACAAGGATGCAAACTCTTCTGCTTCAATAACTATTTCGAACATAGCTCCACAACCACCTGCCACGGAAATTCAGAAAAAACCTTTGGTTCTTACCACTCACGTCGGAAACAGACACAAGCCTAGAGTTCGGGAAATTTTCTTTCAAAATAGTCTCAATCTTTGTCTCTCTGGCAGTTGCCATGCACCGAATACATCGAAGCCCCAAACTGAAGAACTTCTGCAGAAATACAAATCGTCATTATATATAAGTAAGCATATAACTAAAGACCAAGTAGTACTAACACAGTTTATTTCAAATGTTACATCTAACACTAAATAGAATTAATAACAAGTTATTCTTCTCTCCAACGCATCTTAGAAATATCAAACTTATAGATATCACCAATTGATCCTGACCGACTGAACACTTTTTTGTATAAAACTGCATCTTTATACTCAGGCAGTTCGAGTACGTTTTTCGGCGGTATTACAACTACAGTTATGAGTTCTATGACTACAACTTACCAAACGTACGGATGTATATGTAAAAGGAAAGGCCGATACTAATGAAAATTAAACCATATGCTAGTCCAAGTTTCCATTGGCCGTTTGGAGCGGCTAATTCAGCAAAGGTACGTTGAAAGCTATGACGATATAATGTCTTTACTTCTTCGGTTGTCAATTTACTCCAGTCCCCTTGTTCTTTCTCCCTTAGTTTAGCAATCTAATTGAAAGTTAACCCACTAAAACGTTTTACTTCAGGGGTATGGTTGCGAAATCTGATTGAAGGGTAAGGGTACGCCAAATCATCATAATACATAGGAATCCCATTCCTACCGAAACCCACTATTTCACGGTTACCTATTTGTGGGTAGAATTTTTGCTCCAATGGTGAAAGCACTGAACATGAGTCCTTTGGAGCGACTGCTGCAGCCGTTGCTCTCCTACATAAAGTAAGGTACACAGGACAGGTCCGTAACACCATTGCAACGCGCTCGAAACAAAAGCCGGGCGGCTTACAATGTTCAATAGGAATGGTCCGAAATATGAGCTCGTTTAAAGTAGATGTCGAATAAACGACATTGTGTTTACTGCCTAAAATATACAATCTGGTAAAAATGACGATTTATAACACCGTTTCATTTCATTTTCATGCTTCCACCCTTGAGGATTCGTTCACTGTTCTAGATATTATTATGGTTGGCTAACCTACTAGGCTTCATTACAAGGACGATTTCTTCTCTCAGTGAGTTGTAAAGTCTTGAAGCTTCACAATGTTTGATGAGATTTGAGTAACATTTTCGTATTTTCTAAGCAGAAAAAACCGTGTTATCGAGAGAACTCACAATTATATCACGTATTGTTTTACTTATGCAGATGTTTATTCACTACGTGCCAACCTGGATATTCTTTAACCGCGGATCAAATTGTTCATTATGCTTGTTGATGCCCCTAGGTGTTCCGAGATGTACACTTTACACACGAATGTCAGGAACTACAACATAGTGTAACGTCGATTCCATAGGTCAACCTCAATGGTCTAGGGAGAAAAAATCCTGTATGATATCCAATGAGAATTTCAAGATCGTTCAGAACTGTATACTCGACAAAAACTCTCACCAATTCGGATACAAGTATTTTCCACATGGTTCGGACAGCCCTGATGCGTCCCAAATCAGGTAATTGTATAGAGATGGCAGGCCGGTTTTGAAAAGACGATTCGAATTCCTTAAAAAACACAAAGGATAGCTTCGCACGCAATCTTTGATCTTCTTTGATCATTGTATGGAATGAGGCTGAAGTAGCAAGATCTATTTACGCTATCTAAAAAGAGATAAGTAGATCCGATTTCCATGTAGAGATGTTAAGAAATGATTTTAGACCCGCAGCAGCAGTGAGTGTTGTACTCTGTTTCTTCTAACTAATATTACTATTACATTCCCGTCGCACCGTTATATCTGATAGTTGCGCTCATCAAAGCAGCCACAGTACCTGGACACGATGGAAGGTTTGTGCACTTTAATTAGTGGGGTGTGATTTCAACCAAAGCTGAAAGGTCACACCATTCCCAACAGACATGAATGGGAACATAATCCTCGATAGCTTGCATCAGGGATCCACTCTCGTGTTGAGACTCAAGTACTTCACTCCCCAACTGATTTCTTATGATATATTGCCCCTACTCCCTCCCTCCCTCCCCCCCCCCCTCTCTCTCTCTCTCTCTATATATATATATATATATATATATATATATATACTGTATTGCTTAAATAATGTTTTAGGTCTTAATATAAGTAGTTCCTAAGAATGGCTTTATGATTATTGTCTAATCGATTATCATGGCCGCCTTAATACAAATGACATCTCAGACAATAACTCTAACCGGATATTCACTATGTAATGGACCGTTTCGCCTGTATAACAATGTATGACAAAACCAAACTGATAAGAGTATAGAACTACATTTCAAAGCAATTGCAATAAGAGCTGTAAACCTTTTAGAATGTTCACGCATGTCACTCGAACTCGGAGTTTCTGCACGAAGTGCTAGATCTGGATCAGGTCGGTGCATTTTCGGACACTCACTGACGATCAAATTCCTCTAGTCCGTTTCCGCATGTTTGCCTACACAGATATACCACAAAATATAGATAATTTCACTAACCTCTATCGGTTTATTTGAGTTTCGGACGTTAAATTCAAGCAACTGTTATCTCAGGATCGTCCTTTACCGGAGAAAGAGAATTTTCTAGGTACTCAGGAGTTATAAGACATGAGTACATGCTGTTTTGCAAACACAGAGTGTTATATATGGTATTGTTCATCGCGTTCAGTTGTTGGCTACAACACTTTAACGACTTGTTTTGCTTATGATTTTAGTTCATGCCTCGAAGCTCACGACCTTTATTTTTCCAGTCTACATATTAGACCACAGTGCACGGCTCATCATAAACTGGTTTGTGCTTCGTTGGGTTAACTGTATGTAGTGGTGCTCGATGATTAAATATGTTACGGCTCTGCAGTCATCTGTTCGACACTTAAACTCCCTCATTCTCGCACACATTTGAAGGGCTTGGACTGATACTCGTGCAGTAGAAAGAGCTTCTATACAACTGTTCATACAATTAAAATGCTAATGTTACGAAAATCATAGAGATGATAGAAATACACAATATTTATCACACACTTCATGCCGAACAGAACTTCTCCCATCTTACCAAAAGTTGGATTATAACACTGAATGAGAATACAGTCATATAAACGGACTGCTGTTCGAAAAGTAGTCATAAAACACAACTCTCAGTCTTCGTACTGCCAACGTACGTTGGTAGCAACCATCACCTGGGATTTAAACATCGTTGTGCACAACTTTCAAAGCAAGCCATCAATGTTCCAATCAATATATTATCGTCGATCCTTTGAAGTGTTAAGTTCTAACATAGCCAACAAGGAGCCAACAAAGACAAAAATCGTACCTTGTGACATATATTACAACGATTAGGTGTAACTGTGCGTAAACAAGTCACCAACTCATATGACATATGTAGAAAAGACCATTGAAATGAGATGATCATATGTATGTTGTGCGCATAAGGATTGATATATGCGTGCTTACGAGTTTCTCACGGTCATACGTTTTGTACATGTCAAAACGACGACAATAAATTTAAACCACAGCTCTAACGGCGGTACGAATTCGATTATGAGTCCAAAAACCTAGATGCGATGTTGGCATCAATGTTAAAGACCGGCAGAACCAGATATCACTTTAAAATTTCGATTTGACGATTTTGAATAAATTCAACATAGAGGAGATTGTTATAAATAAATAATATATTTGTTATATCCCAATGAGCAGAAAAAGTAGATTTTCTGACGGTTCGTGACTCAGTGCAAACCACTTCTTCGGAAAACAAATAACCGAAATTATCCAAGTTTAAACAGTACAACGGAACGACATAAATATTCTGTGCGATCAATCACAAAACAGGTCTGAATAAATCAATGTCATGTCATTTCATTTCGGTCAAGGTGATTCATAAGCGACATGTATGTAAATTCGTGTATGTGTGCACTGTTAAGGATGAAAAATGTGTGACCTTTATAATGACAAGGGATAGAATTTAATTTGTAAGGTGATAGTGTGAAATTTAAATGATATCTGACTGAGTGACTAGGATAGATAGTCCAAGTAGGATGTATGGTAAGGCTTTCCTTTCCATTGAGAGCAGTAGGATTAGGCATTATATGGAAAGCTTTGGCGACTCTTCCTTCCTTGTAATTGGGAAAGCCTTTTTGTGGTATTTTGATATTTTTGAAATCGATTCGATGATCGTTGAAAATGGCGTGAAATGCTATTGCCGATCTGATTTGACGCCTATCCAGTCCTACAGGACTATTAGGAGGTTTCTATGTGTACCTAATATGTACTTTGGCACGAGTCACGATTTCGCGAGATGACTCTTCAACATAGAAGACATCACAATCGACACAACCTAATTTGTAGAAGCAGTTCTGTATAGACATGAATGGGATTTTTCTCCTTTAATCGAACTAAAGTATTATGAAGTGTGTGTTTTTTTTGTAATATACTTTAATTCAGTGTTGTTTTAGGATTCTTAGGAGTTCTCCTGTCGTGCCATGACGGTATGTTATGGCTGCAGCACCAATCCATAGCATTTCATTAGAATTATTATTATAACGTACTGAAATGTCTCGTTTTAATATAGTTCTAATAATCTTTATAGGAAAAGTAATAAATTGTAAGATATATAGTGACACTTATCTAGTGATTTTTTGTAACAAATTAAAGATCACATATTTTTCCTAGTTGTCACACTTTATATGTAACCACACTTATATTCGATATCTATTGTTTTTCTGTATCAATGGTAAAGAAATGAATACTTTTGTTTGGTTATATATAACACGACTTCACTACCGCGATTCTTAAAATATAAACGTTGTATCCTCCGTCTATTCTTCTGCTTTAACGGCCACGGCCTTTGGTTGAAGATTATAATAGTATTATAACATCCTTTTAGGCCATTGCACACTACGTTGGAGATTTGGCCCGGATCATTACTGAATAATACTACTGGATCTAATCTTCTTCATTTTGCTGTTGGTGCCATCACGTGCAGAGGAACCTTTGTTAACCAAGTGAATTTATTTGTGGTTGTTATCTCAGAAAGCAGCTTACACGTAAAATTAATTTCATAACACTGTTACCATTTTGTTGCTCAATATACCTTTTTATAATTTAACTGTAATTTGTTACCTTTTGCGTTAATCATAGACACACGCTTAGGTTTGCAGTGTTAATTCTTTTGGTATATTGTTGGTGACTTTGAGTATTGTTATATTTTAACTAAGCTTTTTCGCTGAGGTCCACCACAGATACTAATTACATTCTTCTGTTCTGTTTGTTTGTCCTCTTCTGAAGGGGTGATCTTGTTGGCTCTTCCAAAAAAATTTAAGACTAACGAAATTTTAGTACTTAAAAGATGTACTAAAAAAAGTTGTACACTTGAAATTGGAGGCCTGTTTAAACATCTGTGCTACCTGTTCCTGTCATCTAGATATTTCAACGAGTTATCTAATTTTGTTTGTTTTAATACATCATTATAGATATTAGTTGCACGACCTATTCAGGCGCGTTTCTGAAAAGTGTACAACCTTTCGCTGTAAAGGTTACAGAAGGCTTAATCAGAGATATTGTTGTTGCTCGCACTGTGCTGCGAGAAGAATATACATTATTTAGATGTCGATTGACTGGGCTGCTAACTTCTAACTGGCGATCACTCAATATTTATCGTCAGGATGGAAGAAGAAGTAAGAAACGGAAACGTGTTGAAGTACTTTGTGCTGAGAATTCTACATTGTACCAAAAATATAATATTGAATGAAGCTAATAATAATAATGGAAGCCAATATAGCGATTAGAGTGCGTGGGCTTTCGGTAGATAGATAGATTTCAAACTTCATTTACATTTCTTTTCGCTAAGCAATTTAAGAAAGGTAGCTCACCATGTTCATTTTTATTCTCTAGCGTGAGTTTCATCTGAGATGAAATTATATGTATCCGTTTTGAAAACGGAGTCTTTTTATCACTACAAATGCATAATCTTGTAGCTGTAAATAATTCCCCAAAATCAATAGTTCAT